AATATCGGTAATTTGAGTTCCTAGTTCGTACAAACTATAGACTTGGATTTTGACCTCACAAACATCTAATTTGAACCAGTTCTGCATTCAACTTACCATGCGATGCACAAAAATTGATGTTTATCTGTGTTTATTTTCTTTAAATTAAGAATTTGAGTAATGTATAGTTCTAAAATTTGAATTATAACCTACAGTTTGATACCAAAGTTATTGACATACATTCATAAAATAGTAGTTCAATAAAATTTTGAATGCAAGTCAACAAATGCAGTGACATGGCCTTTCACCTGTGACCCATCTGGAAAGGGTTAATTAGGGGAAAAAAATTGAGTTTTTTTTTATTAAGAAGTTAAGCTGTAATTGAAAAATTAGATTGTGTATAATGTACACCGTATAGATGACAATGTTCTTTATCTAGGAGAAACTGTATGGAATTTAAGTTCAGTAATAGAAGAACATGGGCATACTCTTATCTCACAACTATCAGTATTTTAAAGATGCATGAAATCCTAGTGAAAATAAAAATATAGAAAGTACTTGCTCCGAATCTAGTGTTAACAAATATAAAATAAAACAAGCTGTTATAATAATGCTAAATAAATAAAATGGAAGAGTTAGGTTTATATTTATTCCAAGGGTCAAGTTGGTATTTATGTCAAAGTGTAGATGTATCATACTGTTGTGGAATGGACCAGATGTTATGTTAATAGTGGCATTAGTTGTGACAAAATGTTGTACTTTAGTATGTTGTTTTTTAATCCTATTTGCAGTTGTTTGTACTTTTTAAACTTGTATGTAGATAGATACATCTTTCTTACATAGATTAAGTATTGTTTGTACAGATGAGTTGTTGGAGCTACAGAGGGAACTGTTTATGACTTGAGTGTAAAGTGAATAAATAATATAAACTTGATTGAGTACTTTAAAAAATTTTGTACTTTTTTTTTTATAGGTTGGAGACTTTGGTCTTGCCCGAGAATACGGATCCCCACTGAAACCATATACACCTGTTGTTGTTACCTTGTGGTATCGAGCTCCTGAATTATTGCTTGGCATCAAGGCAATGTTTTAGTTAATAGTCAGAAACTCTGATTATTGTGGTTATGGAATGTATCTTGAATATAAAAGCCTTAAAGGAATGTTTGGTAAAAGTAAAGCATGTATTTTAACTTGCTCACATAAACATGCAACACTAAGTACTGGTAAAGTATTTATTAATAAGTGTTAAGTTCCTCAGGCTAAAAGTAATGCTATTATTCTTATATGAGATACATTTAATATGCAGTAATAACTTAAACATTATTGAAAATATTATTTTCTCTCACTCAAAAATGAACACATGTTACCTATAAAAGAAATGCCCCTGGTGGTTCAGTGGTAAATCAGAGGGCTTATAATGCTTAAAATAGGATTTTGATACCTGCAGTGAACAGAGCACAGATAGCCCATTGTGTAGCTTTATGTTTAATAACAAAAGAATAAAAGAAATTCCACTTTGGGCCAAATCAAAAAATTTATGGTGTTTGTTTGTTATATATCTTTTACTGACACTTAAAATAAGTACACCACAATGTTATGCTGAACTGTGGAATTCAACATTTATTGTAATTTACAGAATTTTCTCTAGAAATTTATTGTTTAACATTTTTCTTAATTGAATTTTAATACGAAAATATTATTTTATAATGAATATGACCATTATTATTTTATTAATTAAATTGCAGGTTGCTAAATATTTTATTAATTTGCTTAACTGTGTTGCTTTGAAATGAATAGCTATATCATGTTTCTAATGAACAATCTTATGACAGTATTTTTAAACTCATCAATTTTATTTAATGTATATTCAACTACTTTCTCTCAGTCCATGTTATCAGACTTTTGTCAATTTTCACAAATCCAGCACTGTAAAAATGTACGTATTTTTTACAGTTCTCAGCATAACACAAAAAAAATATCTGTAATTCAGTAACTCCATCACACACCATGCACGTAACCACCATATCAGTGCTTGATATCTGGGGATCTACGGTTTTAAGTTTAAAGTAATTGCTGTTATAGGTAATGAAATGTCATGATTTAAATATGATGTTGATACTTTTTTTTTTCATGTGCTTGAATTTCTTGTTCTCTTGTAGGAATATTCAACTGCTATTGACCTGTGGTCTGTTGGCTGTATATTTGGTGAGCTGCTCACAATGAAGCCTCTTTTCCCAGGAAAATCCGATATTGATGAACTAAATAAAATTTTCAAGGTCAGTGTGTTTTAGTACATAAGATATAAACATAATTCATGTACAAAGAAATGAGGTATTTTTTTTTGCACAAATATATATGTACGTTATGCAACTGTATTTTACACTTTTAATTTTAAACATTGAGCAAAGTGAGGAGTGGAAACAACTAATAAGGTCAAAGATGGTATGATATTTATATGTCAGGGTACCCTATTTATTATTCTCAAGTTTTTATAACTATGAAGCGAGAATCCCACTGAGTTAGTCAATGAATAGTAATAAACTTATTTGCATTAGAAACGTGTTTCAATTATAATTGAAATAATTACTTGAGCCGTCTCACCATAAAAGTACATATGACATTTTCTTCAATCCCTTAAAAAGTTAGATGAAAGAACAAAAAATGACCAGGTTTGTTGTGCATATTTTATATAACTTGAATTTCTAGTTATTCTTATAATTATTCAAGATTTTAAATCAAGAATCAGCATATCTAAGGATAAGTTAGTAACAACTGTGTGTGACCTCATCACAAAGATCTGCATTCAGTTTTTAAAACATCTTATTACCACATTGACAGGCTTTGTACGTAATGGAACTTTCTCAAGTTCATTAACCAATGTGATCTTGATTCAGCTTGGGAAAAATGTCTTTTCTGCAGCCACTTACAATTCCCCAAACTAGATAATGTTAAAGGTATGTAGGTAGATGATGTTTTTTTTCGCAGTTTTAACTCGGACAGTGAAAAAGAATGCTTTATAAACCATATCAACAGTCTTCATTCCAAAATTCATATTAGAATAGAAAGTGAAGAAAACTGATAGGAGCTGACATTATGTCCATAGGAAGGAAGATAATCACAACAATACCACAACTGTGTATCCTCATATTGTACATCAAATATCAGAAACTTCAAATGGTCTTATTCAAAGTTCTCTTAATATCTTCTCCACCAACAACTTAAATGATGAATTGTAAAGAATATGAAAAATCTTTATCTTAAAAAAATCTAAAAATAGTTATCCAGAAAGAACAGTTAACAAAATGATTAATGAAACCAAATTGATAACATTGAAACAGTTACAAAGTAAAACAGCATCATCATCATCACAATTTCTTTTATTAAAAGAACCAGTTAAAATCTCATCAATTTATGAAAACAACTGTTCAAAACTTAACCTCTACAGTTATAGAAATATATTCAGACATTTATCAGATTACAATATTAATTATTGACTATCCTTTGACTCCTATGCTAATTTTTTCAAGAATTCTGTATGGCTTATTGAAGGCTCCAACACAATAGATATATTAGAATTAGATATACGAGTTTTATTGATACTTGAATCCAAGTAAAGAATGTAGTTCAGCCTTTATACTGCAGTAGTAACTAGTTATTTTACCAACACTAGTTATAGTAGTGATTTTCTTTGTTTATAGGACTTAGGAACACCAAGTGACAAGATCTGGCCTGGCTACTCTGAGTTACCTCTTGTGAAAAAAGTAACTTTCACGGAGTATCCATACAACAACCTTCGCAGTCGCTTTTCCCACACTGTAACCAGTCTTGGTTTTGATCTAATGAATAGGTGTGTTAAGTTTTTACACATATCTACTATTTGTCTTTCTTTGTTCACTTAATTTTTCATCTTGAAATTGAATAGTTTAGTATACGATCTGAAATATAGGAATAATAAGAATATTTTGTTGGTTTGTTCTAGTTGTACTTCTTTTATCGATTGGTCTGTTTTTCAAATATCTTCAGGTAGGATTTCTTGGTAAATCTTCTTTAATCAATCATCAAAGACTGTAAACATGAACACTTCATTTTTCAAAAGCAGATAGAGCTTGAATTTAAAACAGGAAAAAAAAATACTAAAAATATATCTTAATAGTTGAGAATTTTTTACTGAGAATATTATGATGTTAGAAACGTAGACCAGTGGTATTTAAAATGATAAATTTAGAACATTAACCTAATGATAATTAAGTGATAAACTTTGTATAGTAACTCAGTGGTAATTTTATAGTAAATTTAGAACATTAACTTCATGGTGTTAAAGGATGCATTTAGAACAGCAACACAGATGTATCTGATAGATTCAAAACAATAATTCATTTTATAAAAATGACAGAGCTAAAAAAAACTGAAATATTTCTTCAACAGTAGTTTTATGAAATATTTTTGTGGTGTCTTCAATCTTTTACAATTTGTTTTATCAATAAGTACTTTGAGAGATTTTAATATAATCAGAAAGTTCACGTGTAAATGTGACGTCGAGTTTGTGATATATAAATTTCATAATAGTAAAACATTTTGTGTAAGCATTTGCCTAAATAAATAATAAATTTAAGCATTAATCACATTTTTAGCTAGTTAAAACTTTAGAATTTGTGAAATGTGAAGGTTAGAAGCTTTTTTAATATTCTAATTTATTCAGTCTTTTCATCTTATAAAGATAAAATAGAAATAAATGATTCATTAATGTAATCTTAAAATTTATGGTTTTTTTTAGAGTTTTGTTAGTTAGTATTTATTTAAGTGGTATGATTATCTGAAGAATGACAACCAACCTTGTGAAGATAAACAATTCTTCATCTAGTCCACAAAAGCGGACTATTCATTACAAGTAACTTTACATTTTGGTAGTGTTTTTGGTTCGGTTAAAAGACTTGTACATGATTTTATACAAAATTGGTAAATATTTTTAAAACTACCAATATCTGTGATTACAAGTTTTTTAAATATATTACATGAATTTAGTGTCTCAAAAGCATAGGCTATTTTGGAGCTGAAACTTGAAACAAAAAAAGGGGGTGGGGTAAAAGAACTCAATAAGCAACACTGGATAATTATGTAATTTCCTCCTCTGAATTTTATATATATATATTTCTTAAGATTTACTGTTGAACCCGTTACGTCTGGTTTGTCAAGTTTTTGAATATTAAAATTACCTAAATGGCAATATAAACTATAATTTATAAAACCAATAATATTTTTTTCCAGGTTTTTGACGTATTGTCCAAAACGACGCATCACAGCTGAGGAAGCTTTAAAACATGAATACTTTAAAGAGACTCCTCTTCCCGTAGACCCATCAATGTTCCCAACGTGGCCAGCCAAAAGTGAACAACTGCATCGTAAAGCACACAGTCCTAAACCTCCCTCTGGTCCAGTCAAAAAGTCTACTCTATAAGAAAATCTGTAGTTAAAACCAGAGAAACTCTACCAGCTGTCGAGCATACTGTTTTCCCTGCACATATGAAATGCCCTGTTTAGTACTACCTATTAAGAACTCACTACTAATAAGATTCATGAACTTTCAGGATGATGCAGATGATGAAGGAATAGTAGCAGCAGGAGGTTTTCACATGGCAGGAGCTCAGAAAGGTCACTCGGCTAAAGGTGCTGGTTTTAGCCTGAAGTTTTAAGGTAACTGGTTTATTGAGGATGGTAAAAATACTTTGAGTGAGAACAGTTGAACTTTCTTCCCCTTTAAATAACTTTATTGTTTTCAAGCCAACTTGCAAAGCCAAGTGCATAAGTGATTCTCTAATTAGGTTTTTGTCACATTTAAGTTTTTATGATTTTTTTTCAGTATTTTAACACTTTTAAGAGTTTTTTTTTTAATATAAATTACTGAGCTTCAATTTTCTTTGTGTACTTAGCAAATTTGTTTTCACTAATTTTTGTTTCTAGTTTATATTTCCTATAATCCGAAGTTGTTCAAGAATTTGATCAAAATCAAAAGAAAATTAAAGGATTTAGTTACTTACTTCAAGTAATAAAATAGTGCTGTAGATATATACACAAGATAAAATGTATTTGTTTAATGAACATAGTTGTAATCACCAACTTGGAAAACTGTGCATCACATGTAGCTTTGCCTTGCAAATTTGAGTAACTATCTGTATTAACACATCCAATTTGTTTATTCCAAAGCAGTTTCTCTACATTGTTAGATTTTCTAAGTAAGTTGTAAAACAAAAAAGCGAGAGAGAGAGTTAAATTTCATGTTTTTGACTTGAACGTTTTATTTGGTGTACATTTTACAAAAAGGTGTGATTTAAGTGTGACTAGGTCTTACAAAACAATGTGATTTAAACGTATTTATATAGCAGAACTGTTATTTATTATGCAAATTAAAAGTTTATGCTGCTTTTGTTTGAAATACTGTTTTTTATTATTTTTAAGCTGTTCCTTAATCTGATTTTTTAAATTCTGGTTTTATAGTTATTCCACTTGTTGAGAAGTTACACCACATAAACAGGATAACTTCATAAACAGTTGGTGTATCCTGTAAAGAAGCAAGATAACTTTGTAAATGGTTGAGGTATCCTTTATGAAGTTATCTTGCTTCCTTACAGGATACATCAACCATTTACGAAGTTATCTTGCTTCCTTACAGGATACATCAACCACTTATGAAGTTATCTTGCTTCCTTACAAGTTGGAGTGAACAACCAAAGTTGTCATTCCCAAATCCTCTCTGTATATAACTATTCATAATAAACTGTTGACTTGTTTTTACAATGCTGTTGTCTTCTTCAATCATAAGCACGAGGTACAGTAATTCAGATCTTAGACATGAGCAGTATATAAACCATAAAATTTTATGATTTCTTCTGACAGTACTTAAACTGATGTTTCAGTACATTGAAAAAATATATAAAACATACTAATTTAGAATTGAAAATACATAGATATAACATTATTTTTGTTGCTAGAAGTAAAAATATTTTTGATGTGAAGTATAAAAATATTTGTTTTAATTACTGAACAAGTGAAATTACTTAGCTTTTGTTCAATTATTTTAAAAATATAAACAACATTTAAGATAGAAAATTTAGTGGATGTAAATATAAGAAAATGAACTAAACTTGCTGTACTAGACATTTAAAAATATAAACGACATTTAAGATAGAAAATTTAGTGGATGTAAATATAAGAAAATGAACTAAACTTGCTGTACTAGACATTTAAAAATATAAACGACATTTAAGATAGAAAATTTAGTGGATGTAAATATAAGTAAATGAACTAAACTTTTCTTTGGTGCCATTTTCCGAGTTGCTTTTTAAGCTACTATCTGAAAGGATATTGAAGCTTTGATATTTCACTTTTGTACATATATAACTATGAAAAAAATGTATGAATATGAAGTAATTATCTGCAGATAATGGCCAAAGGATGTGCACCAAAAATTTAAATTATTTTATATGTTACTAATAGTCAAAACTGTGTATAATAATATACTTCTGTATCCAATGCCAACAAGACCTTTTGCTGAATAACAGGGGCTCTTCACGCCACTGGCATACATAGTATTTGATATGTTATATATATTAGCAAATTGGTTGAAAACAACTGTTGCAATGTGAACTCAGTTGAGTTAGTGAAGTGAATTTTGATCAATATTACTTATATGACAACACATCACAATTAGGGTAAAGACTATTTAACTCTGTATTATTTATTTATTATAACACCATATTTTATTGAATTAAAAGTAACTGATACGCATTTTAAATACATTGGTCAATGAATTTAGACAAAGTCATTTGATGTAGTGCAAAGTTAATCTTCATATATATATATATATAGTAGAAGTGTTGTCTGTGTGTCCACGTTTTAACTGATCTCAACCAAATTTGGCATGCGCCTTAGTCCCTGGACATTGTTATAGGGAAGGGGGTCAGTGTTTGGATTTGACAGCTGCATGTTAGTAGCTGAGGAATCACTGTCTCATTGTCTTTTATGTCTCAAGTTTTTGACCGAACTTGGCCTGCACACTTACAGCTCCCTGAGGATGGTCATACATACCATGTCAGCCTTCGCTTTGACCCTACTTGATACTTCTTTTTTTTTTTTTGGACGGGGGTCAACTGTTTGTCCATCTTTCATGCCTACAACTTTTGACTGATTTCAATCAAACTTGGCATGTATCCTTAGGGCTTCCTGGAGAGTGATATAGGAGGTCAGCATTTAAATCTAACTCCGCTATGGGTCCTATTGTACCTCAAACTGTTGATCTCTACCTCACAGCCGTATGTCACTCATCGGAGGCCCCTTACATCGGTTTTACTAGTCTATCGATCCCTACCTAACTCCGAAGGCCTACCTCTCCCGAGAGAGGTACTTAAGAAGGAGGGGGACGTCATTCGGTTCTGTACCTCGTACCTTACTCCACAGGGGCACCTATACCTTTCCCATGCGTTGAACGTGAACGGACGTTAGCTAGTATCTTTATTAAATTATAAATTTCAGATTCATATAAAATGTGATTCAAAGATTACAGAGACTAATCTTAAGTCGAAATTATAAAAAAAAAATTAAGTACAATTCCAAATAAACACGAAGAAGAAATTGAAACACTTTCGAGTGTTTTGCAACAATTTAGGCATGTGTAAGAAAGCTGTGTTTAAAGTAAAACAGGAACATTTTAAACTTGAATTTTGTGTGGCAATATCGTTAGATTTTGTATTTCTTGAACAAGGGCTCTATCAACTGTAATGGTTACTCCGTACTTTAAATATATATATATATAATTTATTAACCTTTTATACTGGATTACAGTGGCTTTTACCATCTGCATGAGTAAGTCATCTACTGATTTAAAATGTAGGGTGGTCAAGAAAGTCTGCTTGTTCAATTGAAAATGCAGTACGTTGGCAGTTTCCGGGTTGTTGCAATTGGTCATGGACATTTAATGCTTAGAACACAGTTGGTATGAAAGCACACTAACTTTTCATTCAGTTTAAATTGGCTGACTTGACGCGAGCGAAATTGAAAGTCATTCAACCTTCAAGTACATTGCTTTAGAAGTCTAATACTTTTGTATTTCCTTTGACTTTGAGAAAAACGTATAGACCCAAGAATGGTACTTGCTGTTCTTTCTTTTTTTCAGTAATATTGACTTGTTACAACAAATATCACAAAATTGATTTGGTTGGAATTTTTGTTCGTAATATTTAATATAGTTTTTCTAATTTCTCCGTCAATATTTTTAATAAAATGTCTGTTTTGATAGTATTTTAATTAAACCCTATGATGCTATATCCTAAATCACTTGAAATTGTTTGAAGGAATTAAATAAATAGTGTTTGTTATCCTCTTCGAGTCTGTCAGCAATGCCTTACAATGTCATATTATGAAGTTGAACTATAGCAGACAAGAAACTAACAATCATCGTTAGATAAACATTTAGCGATTATTCAAATCTTGACACGTAGATTAATATCACGACAAATATTAATGAAATAATTAGAAAATTAGCTACTTCACCTGTTTTCATAAGTGTAAGTAACATAATTGAATTGCTAAATACAAATTACGTATGACGGTATGAGCACCACACGATGTGAAAGACTTAATTCAACAACTAATAAAGGTAGGGACAAATATCTCGAAGCACGTAATGACATCCGATATGTATAATACAACAGACTATCAAGATACAACCATTCAATATTTATTCCAACTCATTTAAAGAAACTAAGTCCATTCATTAATTCTCAAAGGTTCCCCAGTGAGTCAGCTGTAAGTTTACGGACTTATACTGCTCAAATCCAGGGCTTAGTTCCCTGTGGAAGACAGAGAGCAGTTGGTCCATTATGTAGCCTTGCGCTACAATAACAAAATTCACAAATCAAGAAGACTCCAAACCGGCAGTGCAGACACACCTAAGCGCATAGTAATCCACCTAATTAAAGGATCATTAGCAGAACCGGAAGAAAGTGGAGTATGTAGATAACTAAAATTCATCCTAACATATAGCAACTCCCCTTAGCTAAAGCTACAACCACAGAAAACACAATTTTAAATTTACCAGAGGAAGAGCTCCCCAGTGGCTCAGCAGTAAGTCTGCGTGCTTACAGTGCTAAAATTCGAGTTTCCATATCCATGGTAGGCAGAGCACAATTTGTGTTGCTTTGTGCTTAACAACAAACCTACCAGAAGTATTCAGAACTAAAATTAAGTCAACTTTCCAGAAAGTCATTAGGAGTAAACCCCATTATAATACCATTCTAACAGAAAGAACTACCCACAAATACTTAACGACAACACCGTAACAATTCTAACAGCAAACAAAAGTAATGCCACTATAACTATGGACAAAGAATAATACACCATCAAGCTCCAAACTTTAGTTGAAGATGGACGTTACATGAAAGTAAAGTCTAACTCCACCATTAATACACAGAAGAAGAAGAAAAACCTAAAACAGGAACAAGTAACAGTACAAAACGGCAACTATTCCACACATCTACGACCCACTAAAATAAAATTCACTAGCAAGGCTACCTTCTCCGGTCTACAGTTAACTGTAGAGATTCACCATGCAACCTCTCAACTAGATATCTTGTAGATATGGTATCAACGTTAACAGATAAAACATTCTCGGATGCCAAGAGCTCGGCCCACATTGTACAGATTACAGAAGGTTGAGTACGTTGTAGTTAAAATATTTTGGAGTCTCACCACGTCGTTACAATCCATGTCGCCCGTCCAGTCATGCCTTATCTGACGACTGTGCATCTTAAAAATATCCCTACAGCGTAAGTTTTATTGCAAAAGGCTCTGCTGTAAGGCTGTCATGTCCAAAGCACACCACTCCTCCCTACAGGCTTTCCATAGTCTACGAGGATGAAGGTTTCCCATTGCCCCTTTCAACAATCCGATCGCACAGAAATCGGCAATTTGAACGGTATGTCTTCGTATTTCCGGAATAGCATGAATATCTTTGATTATCGAGCTGCTTGAGGTATGCGACAGTTAAATGGGAAGTATGACTGAAAGCCTCATCTTGGGGAACCTATAGACTGTTGGTCTCGTTTCCAAACGAAAATCTTTCTTGATCAGGTTGCCTGAGATACATAGACGGCTTTTGTCACTGGAATTGTGTTAACGGGTTAGCACCTGCTACAAGATGCCGCACTCTGCTTGCCGTGGCTGGGATTCGCCTTTTCTTAGATCATTTTTGGATGGCCCTGGTGCCACAATTTAGTCTGTATTCCTTTGTTTTCCAATGTCATAAAATACAAGAGATATCCTTGCATTAAGAAAAACGAATCCATCTGAACACATCCTTATAATTGGGATGTATGAAAGTTGAGTCGGAAACGGATTTTGCATATCCCTCCCAAAAGAAGATCTAACCATGAGCTCTCCCGTAACATCAGCAACGTCTATTTGAAACATTTCGAAGATAATGCTCTGAATATAGCTGCTCTAATTCCCAGCATTTGTCTCATATGCGTTGACGATACATTCATAATATGGTCACACATACTAAAGACAAGATTTAATAATTCACGAAGCACTCGAACAGACGTCTCTTAATTCAATTCATAAACGAAATAGAAGGTAAACACCTATTCTTAGACATGATGATTACCAAGACACATGACTCGGAGACCACAGGAATGTAGAGGAAACCCATAACTACTGGTAAATATTTCGGTTGTAAATCAAACCATCCCAACTGAGTAGAGACAACCATCTTAGGCTACTTAGTTTCCAGAAAGAACAAG